TAGAATAGAATAGAATAGAATAGAATAGAATAGAATAGAATAGAATAGAATAGAATAGAATAGAATAGAATAGAATAGAATTCTTTATTGGCCAAGTGTTGTTGGACTCACAAGGAATTTGTCTTGGTGCAAATGCTCTCAGTGCACATAAAAGATACATTCATCAAGAATCATCAGGTACAACACTTAATGATAGTCCTAGGGCACAATAAGCAATCAAATCATACTAGGAAACCATCAATATAAATCGTAAGGGTACAAGCGACAAAGTTACAGTCATACATAAGCGGGAGGGGATGGGTGATAAGGAGGGATGAGAAGATATCACCAAGAAAGGATCAAATTAAATACTAAGAGAATTATTAGTTAGGTTCTATTTTGGCAGGGAGGAAGACAAAACCACAGAGAATTTACATTTCAAGAATTTAAATTTTCAGAAAAGCCCATTTTTCTCATTCAAATCACTGGTCTTCCTTTGAAAAAAAAAAGTCCCTTGTTTTCTAGCTGTGTATGAGTGGTCGGTCATTGACATATTTTGTGTCTGTTCATTTTGAACAAAATTGAAAGGGCCATCTCACCTTCTAAATTCTGTTTTCCATTACTTGCAGGCCTTGGAATCCACTCTCCAAATGAAGCTAATTCGATTCTTTTTTCAGAAGAAGAAGGCAGGGTCTCAAATGGTGAGAGAAAGGTAATGAACATGCCTACTTAATCCATTTGTATTATTTCATTTGTGACTCTAAGAAATGGCTGTGAACTATCAGCCTGCGGCTCATTAAAGCAGCTGCATCTCTCTGAAAATTAAGAGCACCTCAATATTTCAGTCGTCTTCTCTGAGGAAAAAATGAAGTGAACTCAGAGGAAAAAAGTTCAGCTATTTGGAGAGATTCTTGAATCACCAATTCACTCATCAATGAGGATTTGAGGTCTTGCTTATTGGTTGTCCAAAATTCTATACAGGTAGTCCTCGATTTATCATCACAATTCAGCCCAAAATTGTTGTTGCTAAATGGAACGTTTGTTGAGGTTGCCCCCATTTTGACCACAGTTGTTAAGTGAATTACTGAAGTTAAGTTAGCCTTCGACTTAAGAACAGCTTAAGGTAGCTTAAGCCTTCGACTTAAGAACAGCTCGCTGAGTAGATAGAATAAAACAGAACAGAACAGAACAGAACAGAACAGAACAGAACAGAACAGAATAGAATAGAATAGAACAGAACAGAATAGAATAGAATAGAATAGAATAGAATTCTTTATTGGCCAAGAGTGATTGGACACACAAGGAATTTGTCTTGGTGCAAATACTCTCAGTGTACATAAAAGAAAAGATACATTCGTCAAGAATCATAAGGTTAGAATAGAATAAAATAGAATAGAATAGAATAGAATAGAATTCTTCATTGGCCAAGTGTAATTGGACACACAAGGAATTTGTCTTGGTGCAGATACTCTCAGTGTGCATAAAAGAAAAGATACATTCGTCAAGAGTCAAGAATCATAAGGTACAGCACTTAATAATAGTCATAGGGCACAATAAGCAATCAAATCATACTAGGAAACAGTCAATATAAATCGTAAGGGTACAAGCAACAAAACTACAGTCATACAGTCACAAGTGGGAGGGGATGGGTGATAAGGAGCGATGATAGTAGTTATAGTAGTGCAGACTTTGTAAATAGTTGGACAATGTTGAGGGATTTTTTTTTTAGCAGAGTGATGGCGTTCGGGAACAAGCTGTTCTTGTGTCTAGTTGTCCTGGTGTGCAGTGCTCTATAGCAGTGGTGGCAAACCTTTTTGGGCCCCGGTGCCAAAAGTTGTGTGCGTGCTTGCACGCTCGCACTCGCCAGCCAGCACCCAGAAGGCAATGCGTGTCCCCCCATATCCCCTACGCATGTGTGAGCAATCCCACCCACCCCAGTCCCCCCTCCGCCACCCGCTTAGCTGCACTGCGCCTCACAGCTGATTTTTGGCTGGTTTGAGGCCCTTTTCGGCCTCCCAAAGGCTTGAGGAAGGCTTCTGCAGGCTTCTACATGCTTTGTAGGCCAAAATCTAGCCCCGTTTCGTCACTTCCTGTTTTTCCGAAAACATCCATGGAATGCAGTTTCGGTTTTGCAAACTGCTACACTGCTCCCTCCTCCCTTTCTGCTGGCAACTCTAAAAGACCAGAGAAATATTTTATGAGTTGACAACTGTGAATCTTGCTTCTTGGATTGTGCATTGTGGGTAAAAAAAAATTACAGATAGTCCTTGATTTATGATGGGCCGCTTAACGACTGTTCAAAGTTATGACCTACCTGAAATAGGTGACTTAGGATCGGGATCCAAAGATCCACTGGTCGCCCCTCCCCTTGGCCTGCAGTCACATGATCATACCCGCAGTCACATGATCATACGCACAATCACATGTTCATACCCGCAGTCACATGATCATAATTTGGGTGCTTGGCAAAACGGTATCTTAGCGAACAGTTTAAGAGCCACCGGTTTGCTTAATGACCGCTGCAAACAAAACGTGAAAATCAGGTCAGTCATGTGACTGATCTGTTTTATGACGGTTGTGACTTACAACTCCAGGTTACGATCGTAACTCGAGGATTACAGATAATCCTCCACTTAGAGTCACAATTGAGCCCAAAATGTATGTTGCTAAGTAAGAAATAGGTTAAGTGAGTTTTGCCCCGTTTTATGACTTTCGTGAGGGACGCGGTGGCTCAGTGACTCAGTGGCTAAGATGCTGAACTTGTCAATCAGAAAGGTTGGCAGTTCAGCGGTTCAAATCCCTAGCGCCGCGTAATGGAGTGAGTTCCCGTTACTCGTCCCAGCTTCTGCCAACCCAGCAGTTCGAAAGCATGTAAAAAATGTAAGTAGAAAAATAGGGACCCCTTTGGTGGGGAGGTAACAGCGGTTCATGCACGTTTAGTCATGCTGGCCACATGACCACGGAGACATCTTTGGACAGCGCTGGCTCTTCGGCTTTGCAACGGAGATGAGCACTGGCGCCCCCTAGAGCTGGAAACGACTAGCACGTGTGTGCGAGGGGAACCTTTACCTTTATGACTTTCCTTGCTTTCCTCGTTTGCTAAGTGAATCACTGAAGTTATTAAATGAGTAGGATGGTTGTGAAGTAAATCTGGCTTCCCCATTGACTTCCCTTGTTAGAAAGTCGCAACAGGGGACCTCTTCACCCCAGGACACTGCAACCATCATAAATACGAACCACTTGCCAAACATCCGAATGTAAATCATGTGACCAGAGGGACATGGCAGTGGTCATAAGTGTGAAAAATAGTCATAAGTCCCTTTTTTCAGTGAAGTTCGTATCTTTGAATGGTCACTAAGTGAACTGTTGTAAGTTGGAGGACTACCTGGACCTGTATCTTTTTCTGTTGCAGAGTTGTACAGAACAACCCCAGATGGTTGCGTCTTTGCCAGTCGTCAAGCGGCCGCTCTCCCGACCAAGCCAAGAAACCTTCGCTTGGAAAGTCCTCCAAGACAATTGTGAGAACGCTGGCAGCTCGGGTAAGAATTTTCTTCTCAGTGTTCTGACCAAGGCTTCCTGAGACTGTAATTAATCACACGCTTAGTCCAAACAACCCTCTTTTTAATACAATGGATGGGAATTATGTTCATTCCCAGCCTGTAATGAGTCTCAAACAGTCTCTCAAGATAAGCACCCACCTTTATCTCCTTTGAATTGCTGCCAAGAACTAGAGTGCCAAATTAACTGAAAAAAGCCAAACGGAGTACAACGTCCACACAGAACTTCAAGGTTTAATCCAAACAGAGTGGACAAAGTTGCTTCCTGCAAAGGCTCATGTCCCTTTGCTCCTCCTTTATCTCTTATAGGAGGGGCCAATCATATCCAAACCTAACTCCCGAGTCACTCCTTTTGTCTTAAATTGTTTTTGCCTTCTGGCAGCTCTGCCCATGCGCACATTGGGAACAGGCTCCCCTTGATCCTCTGCCTCGCTGATGTCAGATTCTGGAGGCTCCAGAGTCAGCACATAACTCCCAGATGGCCCTGACCCCATCTCTGTATCAGACGCGGGACCAATGTCCGAGTCTCCCAGACTCCAGGACTGGCCCATGTTTCTTCCCACTGTCCGACTCTGCTGCCGTCTCCGCAGGCTGCCGGCAGACCACAACACTCAGGGCCAGAAAATCGTATCAGCTTCACCCGAAGCTATTTATGGCCAGTTTCCACGCCACTCTTGCAGCATCCCCATAGTCATGTGGTCAAAAAAATCAAACACTTGCCAACTGGAATTTATTTATGATGGTTGCAGCATCCCGGGGGGGGGGGGGGGGGGCGTGTGATCCCCGTTTGCGACCTTCTGACAAGGAAAGTCAATAGGGAAACCAGATTCACTTAACAACCGTGTTACTATCTTAACAGCTGCAGTGATTCACTTAACTGTGGCAAGAAAGGTCGTAAAATGAGGCAAAGCTCACTTAACTGTCTCACTTAGCAACTGAAAATTTGGGCTCAATTGTGACTGTAAGGTAAAGGTACAGGTTCCCCTCGCACATACGTGCTAGTCCTTTCTGGCTCTAGGGGGCGCCAGTGCTCATCTCCGTTACAAAGCCGAAGAGCCAGCACTGTCCGAAGACGTCTCTGTGGTCATGTGGCCGCCATGATTAAACTCCCAAAGGCGCACAAAGGAACGCTGTTACCTTCCCACCGAAGTGGTCCCTATTTTTCTACTTGCATTTTTACGTGCTTTCGAACTGCTAGGTTGGCAGAAGCTGGGACGAGTAATGGGAGCTCACACCGTTACGCTGTCAACTTTGGAAGCCATGTTCCATGCTGCCAGTGATTTTAATTAAGTGATTTTAATTAAGTACCTCTAAGTAGACAAAATAAAATTCTTTTGTTAGTTCAAGGTCATTGAGTATAGCGCAGGATGAAATAAGGATCTTACTTTTGGACGGATCGTGATTGGGCCATGTGATGTGATGATGGCCAAGTGGGGATGGATTTGTAGTTTGGGAATGTGTGGAAAGCCCAAAAACTTTTAGATTCGGGATTCCACAGATGTGCCAGGTGAGCTATTCTAATAAAGGTACTTTTGAGATACGTTTGTCTCAGAGTTTACTGATTGGAATGGAGGTTTGCTGGAACGCTGACATTATCCCAAATCTAAAAGTTTTCGGGCTTTGGAAGCCATATTTCATGCTGCCATACGCAGCGCTAAGGATTTGAACCACTGAACTGCCGACCTTTCTGATCGACAAGCTCAGTGTCTTAGCTACTGAGCCACCGCGTCCCCAGTAGTCGAGGACTACCTGCATTGAAAAGAATAACAGACAGACTCCACTATCAACCGGTCCCGTGTGCGTCCACTCGGGGTTGTATGGCCTTCACGTGTCCCCAACTGCTCTTCCCAAGAGCGATGTCAGAGATGACCAGGCTGAATTCGAGGATGGGGTCAAACATGTCATCGGTCATGAGAGATCTAAGTCCAGCCCACCTTGAATGCCTCTTAATTCCTACACGTTTCCCTTGACCGTTAGTAGCTCAGATTTTTGTAGAGAGCTTAAGCTTGCGATACATTTTTATACTCATTTGAACTGCCAGAATCTCCTGGATTTCCCCAGTTCTTGACAAGCTATATCCATATAGTTGAGGGGTCCTTGGTGTTCTCTGGGCTTGTATGTCTTCTTGCAAGCATTTCATTACCCTAACTAGGTAATATGTAAGTGACAGCACCTGTCCACCAGCAATCGGCACCCAGATTAGCACAGATTAACTCCAAGGTTGCCTTCGGACCAACAATCAAGTAAGCAATACCCCAATCAAGAAATACCAAAGAGCCATCAGTTAATAATCCAACCAAAGAATCCCTAAGGCCGCCCACACCCAGACAGACGGGCAAGAGACCAGAATATAAATTGACAGCAAATCCCACTCCCTACTAGTACGGATGATGTTACCTAGTTGGGTAATGAAACTTTTGCAAAAAAAAATAAGCAAGCTCAGAAACCAAGGGTTCTCTTACTTCAAACCTGAGCTACAAATATTCTCTTTTATTGGTACATATATAGTTGTTTAGGGGATGCGGTGGCTCAGTGGCTAAGATGCTGAGCTTGTCGATCAGAAAAGTCAGCAGTTCAGCGGTTCGAATCCCTCGCGCCGCGTAACGGAGTGAACTCCTGTTACTCATCTTGGCATGTAAAAATGTAAGTAGAAAAATAGGGGCCACCTTTGGTGGGAAGGTTAACAGCGTTCCTTTGTGCGCCTTCAGCGTTTAGTCATGCCGGCCACATGACCACGGAGACGTCTTTGGACAGTGCTGGCTCTTCGGCTTTGTAACGGAGATGAGCACCAGCGCCCCCTAGAGTCAGGAATGACTACAATGTATGTGCGAGGGGAACTTTTACCTTTACCTATATACCGTATATACTCGAGTATAAGTCGACCCGAATATAAGCTGAGGCACCTAATTTTACACAAAAAACTGGGAAAACTTATTGACTCGAGTATAAGCCGAGGGTGGGAAATGCAGCAGCTACTGGTAAATTTCAAAAATAAAAATAATTAATTTGGGAAACGATCTCACTATCATGAAAGGTTTAATTGATTCACTAACCCAAAAGAAGAAGATGATGATGACAGCGGGAGGCAGGAGTCACTCTCTTCCCCTCCCTCGGAGGCCCCCTGAGTCAGGAGTCACTACCGCCGGCGCGGCCCCAGTCCCGCCGCCTCGGGAAGGGAAAGGCAAAGCGCTTTTTGCCTTTCCCTTCCCGGCTGGGGCTGTTGGGAGTCGCTGCCACCGGAGGCCGCGACTCCACACCATTTTTTTTTCAGAGGGGAATCTGACTCGAGTATAAGCCGAGGGGGATTTTTTCAGCACAAAAAATGGGCTGAAAAACTAGGCTTATACTCGAGTATATACAGTAGTTGTTTGGAAGCTTGAGGAGGAGGGGCTGGCCCAGAAACCCTAAGGTAGGCTGAATTTAACAAATTCAAATTTGCGAGAAAGAAGCCTGTGACTTGGCAGAACAGGAATCTTGAAAAGAGTCAGCAGATCAGGAAGAAAAATATTTTCTTTCTCTCTGTAGGGGATGGAAAGAGAAGTTTGGTGAAAGTGGAGACTCTTCAGGATGGAGAAAAGAAGGCAGGAGAGGCACATGGGGCCCTTCCACTGCTGAATTTGGGGAATGTCACACCAGTCATGGAAAGACTGGAGGGAAGAAGCGAATCCCAAACCCGGAACGAATGCGCTCGGCGTGCTGGGAGTTGTACGGTTGCCACACTCGAAAATACTACAAACCCCACTTGGGATAAAATGCCACCGTTCTCCTGTTACGGCAGAAAATACCGCTACAGATTTGAACTTGGAATGCAACCTTCTGGGGAGGAATACAAAACACACCCTTTGTCAGAGGAAAACCTGCTGCCTAATTCATCTTTTTATAAACTGGGGAAAATCCTCACCGCAAATCGAAGCTACGAAGCCTCCGGACACGGGAACGGGAGTGGTTTGAAGATCTTTCCGAGCCTCCGTGCGGATTGGAAGGCGATTAGCGGTGCCGAAAGCGGGAAGAATGTTAGTTGCACGCAGCCGCTGAATAGAATACAAAACTTGGGAACCGAAGTGAGGATCAATAAATGCTTTCAGTGTGGGAAGTGCTTTGCTCAGAAGGGGGATCTTAAGAATCACCAACGCATTCACACCGGCGAGCAACCGTACGAGTGCTCTTTCTGCGGAAAATGCTTCAACCAGAAGGGAAACTTGAAGACCCACCAGAGGATTCATACCGGAGAGAAGCCCTACAAATGTTTGCAGTGCGGGAAGTGCTTCATCCAGGCGGTCCTTTTGAAGAACCATCAAAGGACCCACACGGGGGAGAGACCCTACAAATGCTCTCAGTGCGGGAAAGGTTTCAACCTGGGAGGAGACTTAAAAAAGCACCAGAGGATTCACACGGGCGAGAGGCCGTATAAATGTTCTCTGTGTGGGAAAGACTTCAGCCAGATGGGAAACTTGAAGAAGCACCAGACCATTCACATGGGGGAGAGATGATAAAAGTGGTCAGTGCATAAAAAGCATGAATGGTGTAAAGCAGGGATCTTGGCAATTTTAAGAAACTTGTGGACTTCAACTCCCAGAATTCCTCTGCCAGCCATGTTATTTTGACAGCTTGAACATGTATGGACTTCAACTCCCAGAATGCTTGCTGGCTGAGGAATTCTGGGAGCTGAAGGCCACAAGTCTTAAAGTTGCCACGGTTGAAGAACCCCGGTGTAAAGAATATGAGAATAGTTATCAGACAAAGAATCCTTGCACCCAGAGAAAGTTTGAAAATTTATAAATAATAATAATAACACCTGAAAACACTGAATTATTTAAAAAGTATTTTTCTTTAAATAGATTGTACTCACAAGTGACCCCCAGCTCCAGCTTCAGTTAGATGCTTGTAACCCTAAAGCAGTATTTGTAAATCTCAATACCTTTATAAGACATCCACATGTCAACTCCCAGAATTCCCCAGCTAGCACATATTCTGGGAGTTTGAAGCGCACACGTCTTCAAGCTGTCAAAGTTGAGAAGTTTGGCTAAAAATGTACGGTAAGTAACTCAGAGTGTCAGCCTTCCTTTATCTTAGGATATCAAAATAAATAAACCTGTCTCGAAAAATACTCTTTAGATATTCTCGTTTGTCTGTCTGCCTTGATGATTGACTTAGTTATGAAATGACAATGTTTCATGTGTCAACTTTAATCCCAGGTTTTCTTGTTTTTATGGGGGTTTGTCTCAAGGTGAAGGGTAATGTCAGGGGTGAAAAACCAGGACCAATTAAACTGATTTATTGCTCGTACCTATGCACAGGAATCTACTCAATTAACAATATTATTTTAGCAGTAGATAAGGGTCAATAGAATTCAAAAGGGGTTGGACTTTGTTTGTGACTGTGTAGAGATTCTAGACCCATGATGGCGAACTTTGTGCTGGCATGCGAGCCGCAGGCAAACTTACCTCACGGCGTATGCGCGCGCCTCACAGCTGTTCTTTTTTTTCCAGCTGGTTTGAGGCCTTTTTCGGCCTCTCAGAGGCTTGGAAAAAGCCTCTGCAAGGTTTTTCAGGATGAATTATAGGCCCGTTTCGTCACTTCCTGTAATACCTCTTGGAGCCTCTTGGAGCAGGATGCTTTGCAGGGTCCCAAAGACTCATTTCTGGTGGAGTTTGGGGGAGAGAAAGAAAGACTTTTGCTGCTTTCCTTGTGTGCAGCCAAAAGCAGAAGAAGAAAGAAGCAGCCCAGTGGCCCGGTAAGGCACATGGGGGCGAGTGGGACAAGTTCCCTTCCTCCCCCCCTTTTCCCCCTCCCTTCACTACCTCATGTTGTTCGCAATGCAAGCGACGCAAGCCTTGTGTTCCTGTGGGCCATGTGGACGGCACAGCCTTGTGTTCCCACGCAACCTGGATTAATTGCTTTTGGGAGGGGGGTGCTTTGGGGGGGTGATATTTTTCTGCGGACCACCAACATTTTCTAACGGACCACAAGTGGTCCCTGGTCACCATGTCCCACTACGCCCACCCAGCAACCGGGCAGAGAGCCTGTTGCTAAAAATTTGGAAGGCCACTCCTGGGGGAGAGGTGCATTAAGGGAGGCTCAGCCAATCTCATTGTACACATGTTGTGCGTTGACAATAAAGGTTTGAACTGAATTGAAATGCAAGTTGAAACAACTTCTACTTCCTCCGATTCTCAAATACCTTAAGTGTTGGGTAAGGGTGAGGCTTGCTCAGGGAGCGGCTCGAGCCCAGTAATCTAGGTGTTCATACCTGGAGGAGTGTATTTTGGGATATCAGAACTTTTGTGAGTAGAGTTGTTTTTTGGTTAATTTTTTTTTGTGGGGGGGCGTATGTAACTGTGTCCTTTAAATAAATAAATTTTCTAGAGTTACCGTCTGTCCTCAGAATATTCCTGGTGTTCCCTGCGTTGTTGTTTTTCCTTATCCGCCTTTTGTTTGAATTTCTGATCTGGTGCTTTTGTACAATGGGAAAGGTGAGGTGAATGGAACAGGTAGTCCAAGGGTCTTCAAACTTGGCAAGTTTAAGACTTGTGGATTTTTAACTCCCAGAATTCCTGAGCTAACATGACTGGAGGAGGAATTCTTTGAAGTTTTGAAGTCCACAAGTCTTAAAGCTGTCAAGTTTGAAGACACACACACACACACACGCACACACGAGGTAGAATATGGTGAGTTTAGTGGCAGTTTTGTGTCAGCCAAGAGCCAGATCTCTTCATTTTTGAAATGAATAAGCAACGTTCGATTTGCCTTTTCTATGAAAGCAGTTCGTGACTCTGCAGTACATTAAAAAGGGGTCATTTGAAAGAGTGGGACAATTGAACCGGTTGCCCCTCAGAGGTTTTGGGTGTCAGTTCTCATACCCCCCCACACCACACCCCCACATAGATGCCCATTGGTGGGCAGGAAAGAAGGGACTTGAAAATGCGAGGCACCAAATTGCTTAAACTTATTGAAACAGAGATGGCGTCAGTGGTGGGATTCAATTTTGTTACTACTGGTTCTGTGGGGAGTGGCTTGGTGGGCGCGGCGGGGAGGATACTGCAAAATCCCCATTCTCTCCCCACCCCACTAACCTGCTTTTCAGCTCTGTTCTCCTGTGCAGGGCAACCAAAGAAGACCCAGCCAATCAGCTGGGACTCGGGAGGCAAGAGAATTGATGGGGGCGGAGCCAAGAACTGGCGGTCCTTGCCAGTTCTCCGAACTACTCAAAATTTCTGCAACTGGTTCTCCAGAAGTGGTCAGAAACTACTGAATACCACCTCTGGATGGTGTCCTTTTTTCTCTCCCTCCTGTGGTATCTAGCAAGACAGCAGGCAGTAGAAAAGAAGATTATTTTTTTTCTCAATTTAGATAAGTGTTTCCCAACCTTGGGAATTTTGATATGTGGGAACTTCAATTTCCCAGACTCCCTCAGCCAGCATCCTTTTTAACATGTGTGAAACCCCTGCTGAAGTTGCTGGCTGGAGAATTCTGGGAATGGAAAATTCCCAAGGTTATGAAACACTGTTTTAGGCGGCTGCTAAGTCATCGGGAGTAGCTTGCTTACAGGTCCTTGGGTAACTTGCAAGGTGGAGGAAAGTTATCCAGGCGATCTACTTTCTGTGACTCTTGACTTGGTCTACCATTTATTTCCTCCACTTTTGCCAAATGAGGACCCTTAGAGGTTGGGGTTTGAATAGGTAAGCACCATCACTGGAACAAAGTAGATTTTAACCCAACCAGTCAAATCAAATCAGGTCAAACAATCTCCTCCAGCCTTAGAACTTCTGGAGATGTTGCATTTTCAACCTTAAAAATCTGCAGCGAGCCTGTTTCTATCGTTAGACATGGATTTGAAGCACAGCTGATAGAATCCAAACATTTATTTATTTGTTTCGTTCTTTCCAACATCAGAGAAGACAACAGTAAATGCCAGATGTTTGTTTTTCCAGACCCAAATGGAGAGAAGGGGAAGCCAGTGGCGCGTGTCTCGAATTCCTTGGGGCTCAGAAAGTGGTAGATAAAAAGGAAGGCACCCAGAAAGCACCGGATTCTTCTTCTTGGGTCTTTGGCTGTCTGTTTTCTGCCTCTTGTTTTCTCATCAGGGGAAGCAGCAGTGGGATTGACTGAGACGGTGGAGAGCTATTCTGTTCTTCATGCATTCCCAACATTAGCTATGGGAGAGAAACGGCCATCAAAATGTCAACAAGCCAAGCATTCGACCAAAGATGGACAAAGAAATTTGGGTGTTGGACTTCTCCGAGCCAAACATGCTTCTCCTTTTAAGATGATTTTATCATTTAAGATGAATTTCGCATCCTTCTTGCTGGACCAGTTAAACAGAAATTGGATGGGAGTTGGCTATAATTGAAACCTGTCCTCTCCAAATACATCGGACAAAAATGGTCATGCTCAGCTAGCATACAAAAGAAATTGAAGTCCAACATATCTGAACACCTGCCAGTTGTTAACAATTGCAGAAAAGCGCCAAATTAGCCTTTTCCCTTCTAATTTTTGAGATGATACATTGCACAAGGACCACCTGATGATTTAAGTTTAGTTCTTGAATAAATCGCAGGCCAGCTTCACATAGGAATGTCAATTATGAACAATAACTTATAAAACTTACAAAGTTGTGTAAAACTTATCTAACTTATAAAAAGTGTATCACTTATAAACTTTGAACCATGTTCAAAGCAATCACATTTAGACTAGGTCCATGATGGCGAACCTATGGCGCAGAGCCATTTGTGCTGGCACGCAAGCTGCAGGCAAAGTTACCTCACTGTGCCTGTGCGTGCCTCAGCAGCTAAGGGGGGGGAGATTACGCATGTATGCGTAGGGGGCCTTCTGGGTGCTGGCATGCGAGCACGAGCGTGCAAGCGTGCGCACAATTTTTGGCACAGGAGCCCAAAAAGGTTAGCCACCACTGGACTAGGTGAAGTCAACCTCACTTCTGCATACTTATCTGGACACCTTTTGAGGCAAATGGGTTTATTATTGAGGTTGAGAGGGGCTGGAGGAATTCTGGGAGATGAAGTCCACAAGTTGTAAAGTTTCCACATTTGGAGGCCTCTGGCCTAAACTCAAGAGACAGATTTGGGGGAAATAATATTCCATTCAAGAGAATAAAAATCGAAATTGGCCACGTTTAGACTTTTCCACTCATTGGAAAAAAAAAAAAGAAGGTGGACGAGAGTAGTAGAATCCAAAAGGAGTTCATACTATACCTGAACTGCAGGGGGCGTGATATGCAACCACTGCCGATTCATCTGGAAAAAAAACGAAGGAAACTATGGTTAACACCAACTGCGCTTTCCGCTACATCCCAAAGGGATGTGAGCTGTTCTTTCACCATCTTTCAAGATTTGGCTTTGGGGTCCTTGTGGGGATAGGTTGGCCGTGGTGCAGAATTGGATTCAGAACCAACAGCCGCATATTCTGCACTCACCATCGTAATAGTCGTACACCTTCACATAGGCTGGACGCTGATTCTGGATCTCAATGCTTCGTTCCACCGTGAAAGAGAACTGCACGGTGGCGTTGGTCAGCTGCAGGCAAGAAGTTCATATATGAGCTGAGGTTCAGATAAGATCAATCTGCACATTTTCAACGTATTTGCTCCCTTGTCCCCTTGGCCACATATATACAGGGGTGAGATTCTACCAGTTTGGACCGGTTTGGGTAAACCGGATGTTAAATTTACATCCGGTTCGCCAAACCGGTAGTTCAACCGACTGGCTGGCCCTGCCCATGCTGCCCCGCCCTTCCCAGGAGTCTCCATGCGGCCTAAATTGGATGCAGATAAGTGCAGGGTCTGGGAGGCTCTGGGAGGGTGACAAATGGGCCAAACCGGAAGTTCTGGAAGTCTGAAAACGGGCCTCTTTCCAGCTTCCGGAGGCCCTCCGAAGCTCTGGGGAGGCCATTTTCTCCTTCCCAGAGACTGGGGAAGGCGAAAAATGGCCGAACCAGAAGTTCTGGAAGTCCGGAAATGAGACTTTTTCTGGCTTCTGGTGGGCCTGCGGAGCCCCGGGGAAGGCCGTTTTCACCCTCCCAGAGGCCTGAGGGAAGCCTCCAGACTCTGGGGAAGGCAAAAAAAATGGCCATCCCGGAAGTTCTGGAAATTCGGAAACGGGACTGTTTCCGGCTTCCGGTGGGCCTGCGGAGCCCGTTTTCACCCTCCCAGAGGCCCAAGAGAAGCCTCCAGACCCTGGGGAAGGCAAAAAACAGCCCTCCCGGAAGTTCCGGTAGGCCACACCCACCCAGCAACTGGGCAGCGAACCGGTTGCTGGGAGTTTTGAATCTCACCCCTACATATATGCGACTTAGAGGAGGTATTTTATGTCCATCAGCGGCTACAGAAAGACTGTCGCAAGTGAAGAAATGTGATGGCATTTACAAGTAGACTGATGACTGGTCTTTCCTCAGAGTTACTTACGACTCCTTTTCAAAATTATGCCTGCGTTCCTGCCCCACCCACCCCAATCATGTGATTGCATTTTGGGCATTTGGTAACCAGCTCGCCATGACTGCGGTGTCCCACAGTCAATTGACTGTGATATTTGCCAGGTTTTCAATTCTTGCTGGTTTTCAATTTTTATTTCTGGTTTTCCGCAAAAAAAAAAAAAAATGCCCATTGGGGAAAATAGATTTGCAGAAGCACTATGGCTTTTGCTTACACAAAATATTGTAAAGTCGGATCCGGTGAATTGCTTAACGACCACAGGACTTAAAATCATAATTCTGGGCTCAATTACAGTTGTGAGTTGTAGGTTTGTGTACAGTTGTATTGGCATGGCCCCACGTTTTGCCAGATGGTTCTTTCCTTTCCTAAGCTCTTCATTTTAAATCCAGCTTCGCATCTTGCATGCGTGGCTACTGGCAAAACAGCCTCACATACAACCACAATGGAGCCCAAAATTTATGTCGCTAAATGAGACCGAGCCTTGTCCCATTTTTATGACCTTCCTTGCCACACTTGATAAGCGAATCACTGCACTTGTTAAGCGAACAGCCTGATGGTTAAGGGAATCTGCCTTCCCCATTGACTCTGCTTGTCAAAGTCGCAAAAGAGGATAGGGTACGTGCCAGTTGCCAAGCGTCTGCATTTGGATCACGTGACCACACAGATGGCCGCAACGGTCGTTGAGTGTGAAAAACGGCCACTTTTTTTCAGTACTATTGCAACATTAGTCACTAAACGAACTGTTGTAAGATGAGGACTAGCTGTGCTGCTTAGAACAGGAGTGTCAAACTCAACGTCGGGCTCGAAGCTTCGAATATGCCTCGCGGCAAGTCAGCTGGCCATGTCACCTTAGTCAGCTGCTGCCGGATCTGTATTTCTGCTTGTGTGCTGGCCGATGCCTTTGGAGTGACTCAGCAGAGCTGAGGATGGATTCTGAAGCAACTGCGGGGCTGCAGGATGGATTCTGAAGCAACTGCGGGGCTGCTGGAAATGGCTCTTTTCATGTACTGATGTGGTGCATATTGTTAAAAGGGGGTTGGGGCCCATATAGGTGGTCATTAAGCCTTAGGTTAAAACATGGTGAAGGTGGCGTCAGGTGGGGATCAGTTAGCGAGGGTCGGAATAGGGTAGGGAAGTAGACATGTTATAGGGCTAATAGCATTTAGGGATAATGGGTTAGGCGTGGCCAGAACTAGAACTGCGTATAGGCCTGGGTGTGGCGGGGGGTGTCTTATGATAATGGTAATAAAAGGAAAGGGAGCAAACTCAAACCCAACTCTAACCTTGCCTGGCTTTGAGCCTTTCTTGTCAAGAGAAGAGTATTTGTGGTTTGCTGAGCTAATGAATAAACCACCATTGCACTACAAAGGAGCTGGAGTTTGTATTCATTTCAGGACAGATCTTCAATACTCAAGGACTGGCTGAGACATGTGGTCAGATCCGATCCACGGGGCCATCCTGGAAAATATTAACAGGCTGGCCCACGTTGCTTCGGCCTGGCCTACTTAATACAAAGAGGAAACATGCCAGCAGTTTAGGGGAGCAGTGTCAAGTGGGCCACGCCCCCCCAGTCGGCCATGGGGCCCCCCCAGCCTTCCTGAGGTCAACCGTAGCCCTGATGAGGCCCTCAATGTAATTGAGTTTGACACCCCTGGCTTAGAAGGTTGAAAGTGAGAACAATCAACCCATGGAACAGAAGCTGCCCTCGGAAGTTGTGGGAGCGCCATCACTTGAGACTTTCAAGAAGAGATTTGGACTCCCATCTGTCAGAAACGGTGCGGGGTCTCCCGCTTGGGCGGGGGGGGGTTGGACTAGATGACCTACGAGGTCCCTTCCAACTCTGATTATCTGTTATCTGAAATACTGAAGCCCACCAAGCACCCAGGGATGGGCTGAGATGTTTTGAACTTGCTCCACACAACCTGACCACGTGGGATGTGGAATGAAGTCCAAAATATCTGGACGGCCCCCGATGCCTTTCTCTTATTATTCTACTTTTTCCACAAATATTTCAGGGAAGCACTGGCAGTCCTCAACGTATGACCACAATTGAGCCCGAGGTCTATGTTGCTAAGTGAGAAATTTGTGAAGTGGGCTTTGCCCCGTTTTATGACTTTTCTCGGCCCCTTTGGTAAGTAATTCACTGCTGTTATTAAACAGGTAACAACGGTGGTTAAATGACTCTGGCTTCTCCACTGACATTGCTTGTCAAAAAGTCACAAAAGGGGACACACACACACACACACCCAGGACACTGCAACCACCATTGTAAATATGAACCGGTTGCCAAGCGCCTGAATTTTGATCATGTGGCTGCAGGGATGCTGGAAAAGTAAGTGTGAAAAAAGTCCCTTTTTTTCCGTGCCATTGTAACTTCGGTCACTATGTGAGCTGTTGTAAAGCAGGGCTGGGATTCTCCCGGCGTAACAACCAGTTTGCTAATCGCGTGCTCCGCGCGTGCCTGTGTGCTTCGTGCGCGTAGCTATCACAATCACTGACCTTTAATGTTACTTTGGGGAAGTCACACAGCTGAGGAGCAGCCGTCCGCTCTGCCGCGCGAATCAGCCGCGCGGATATAGGTGAGTACAGCGCATGGCCCACATGATTGTTGGATTGAGCTGGTTCGGAGCCAGCTGCTCATCGCAGCTAGGAGGTTCGCCCGAACCGGTCCAAACCGGGAGAATCCCACCCCTGGTTGTAAGTCAAGGCCTACCTATAATTCCCTTTGTTTATGACTCTGCCTTCATGTGAAATATTAACGTTTTCCTGAACCACGGGAAGATTTGGAAGGCAAAAAAACCATCACTCCCTTCCTCTCTTTATTGGCGTCCCTCTAGCTCGTCCGTTCCTTTTATTGTGGTTTCTGGACTCACCTTTTCCAAATACAGATCCACGCTATCGGCTGTTACATCCACCCGCTGAATCGGACCTTGATTTTTCAGCTGCAGAAAACAAAAACAAAACAAAACAGAGATTTCTTCATGATTAGGGATCAGGGCCAACAATCCGGCATCAGCCATTGTCAGCTAAAACCTTAGAAGGAGGAAGTGTTGTTTTTTCAGGGCAACCTGGTCTACCCAATTATGCTTCCGCTTTTGCCTTTTGCCTTTCAGCCCCAATCCAGGAGCCTTCGCGACAATAGAATAGAATGGAATAGAATGGAATAGAAAATAAGAATAGAACAGAATAGAATAGAACAGAATAGAATAGAATATAAGAATAGAATAGAATAGAATAGAAGAGAAGAGAAGAGAAGAGAAGAGAAGAGAAGAGAAGAGAAGAGAAGAGAAGAGAATAGTAGAAGAGAAGAGAAAATAAGAGTAGAGTAGAGTAGAGTAGAGTAGAGTAGAAGAGAAGAGAAGAGAAGAGAAGAAGAGAAGAGAAAATAAGAATAGAGTAGAGCAGAGTAGAGTAGAGTAGAGTAGAATAAAATAGAAGAGAAGAGAAGAGAAGAGAAGAGAAGAGAGAAGAAGAGAAGAGAAAATAAGAATAGAGTAGAGCAGAGTAGAGTAGAGCAGAGTAGAGTAGAGTAGAGTAGAGTAGAGTAGAATAAAATAGAAGAGAAGAGAAGAGAAGAGAAGAGAAGAGAAGAGAAGAGAAGAG